TCTTAAGGTGCAACCAGGGGTGAAATCCAGCAGGTTCTGACAGATTCTGGAGAACCGGTAGCGGAAATTTTGAGTAGTTCGGAGAACCAGTAAATACCACCTCTGACTGGCCCTGCCCCATCTATTCCCTGCCTCCTGAGTCCCAGCTGATCGGGAGGGAATGGGGATTTTGCAGTAACCTTCCCCTGGAGTAAGGAGCGAATGGAAATTTTATAGTATCTTTCCCCTGTCACACCCACCAAGCCACACTCACAGAACCGGCAGTAAAAAAAAATTGAATCCCACCACTGGTGCACACCCGTGCTCACATTTTCGGTTCTGGGCAAACTGGTTGTTATGTTATGTGATGCCCCCCTCTGAAAAAAACCCTCTTCCTTACCTTTACTCTAGCCAAGTCATGCGGATTGAGAACTGAACCCTGAAAAAATTCCACCTGAGTAAAGTGTCGCTTAAAAAGAGCTTCCAACTCAAGGTTAGGGGAGATACTAAATTAGAGAGAGAGAAAAAAAAAATGATTTCTCAAACAGTTCCAAAAGGTTAACAGATTTTTGCAGCAGCTCGTAACATCTATTTTGTAGATGATCATTTTCAATTCTGTTTTCTTTGCAGCTATGAGCTCTCCAGAACATTTTCGCTTTCATCCAAATATCATCCCTCTCTTCATCCCCCAGGTCAGAATGATTAAAAAATCATTACGTAAATTCATTATGTTCAGAATTTCAATTGTGCTCTCCCTTTTTCTCTGGAATTAGTAGAGGGGATGTATTTTGAAAGATGTCACACTCAAAGGCACATTATACAAGTGCTTAATTTTACTGAAAAGGTGAATTAAGTTTATTCTGCTGTACACACACACAAACATACACAAATAAATGTAAAGGTAAAGGTTCTCCTCACATATTTGCTAGTTTTTCCTGACTCTAGGGCAGGGGTGGGTTTCAGGCGGTTCACGGCGGTCCCCACGAACCGGTTGGTCGGCGAACCCGGAAGTAAGTAACTTCCGGGAACGCCGAAGGATCCACCCGCNATGCTGACTCTCTGTAAACCGCTTAGAGAGGCCTGAAAGGCCTATGAAGCGGTATATAAGTCTACTGCTATTGCTATTGCTATTGCTATTGCAGTGCTGCACTCTAACCACCATGGCTCATGTATCTGTCTGGGATGCTTTCATTTAAATTCCTCAACTAAGGAAGATTGCTGACTTCATTACTTTTTAGACTTTTCTAACATTACACTTCCTTGAATCTGACATCTTAGCTTATCTAGATAGTCCACAAAGATAACAAACTTTCTTCGGAAACCTCAAAGTGAGTCTCTTTTGTGTCCTTTCCTGAAACAAGGCATTATATTCCATTCTTCTTCTATTTTTAATTCCTCTCTACATAAACCCCACCATCCCACATCTTCCCTAGAAACCAAATTTGACATGGGATAGCTAATATTCCCCCAATTCACAGCCATATTTGGCAGCTGAAAGTTCCAGTGTGTGCCGAAACCCTTAAAAAAAATCAACATTCAATACAAATCGCTACATCTAAATTACCTCATGATATTAGAAGCATCTTCAGCATCTGGATCTGCGCAGTATTTGTTGGCAAGGATCAAGCAAGCATCTGCTGACTCTATCTGGACATCAAAGGAGAAAATATAAACACATACAAAGCAACTTTCCCCTCTCCCCAACATACTCGGTTTTTATGGAACGTGGGCTAAGAAATCACATGTAGATTTGAATGGCAGACCTACAAGTTATTTCATGCAAGTGAACGCTATTATTCATAGGCTCCTTTCAACCTCCAGATGTGGAAAGGCATGCCTCTAGATCAACCTTAGCAACCTCCAGATGTCTGGATCCAGGTCTCCAGCCAGCATGGCTATTACGGAGAATTCTGGGGGGAGGAGTCAAAGTTCATCCATCTGGAAGTGGCCAGGGGTGAATAACATTGTGCCCAAGGCCTAACAACTTCCAGCTTCTATTTTATATATACATATAGTCTTCAAGGTCTAAGCATCAATCTTTGTGGTTGGATTGAGAGACAGCCATGGCCCTATTGAGTTAATATGTTGAAATTCTATAAGAAAAGAGTTGTATTCAGAATGATTAGTCCGTTCTTAAAAGCAGAATTTTGAACTGTTGCTACTTCAGTCTTAAACTTGTTCACCTATTGCCACGTTATCCCCCTTCTTTTTTTCTAAAGAACCTTATTATAAAAGATCTAAAAGATATAAAGGATCTCTTCATTCCAGAAGGATTAACAGCCCAAAAAGCTGATAATTCTGTGACATTTCTTCTGAGCCAATTTGAAATTGAAGGGGCTTCTGGCTTCTTAAGGTGCAACCAGGGGTGAAATCCAGCAGGTTCTGACAGATTCTGGAGAACCGGTAGCGGAAATTTTGAGTAGTTCGGAGAACCAGTAAAT